GAGAGAGAGAGAGAGAGAGAGAGAGAAAGAGAGTGTGTGTAATATGTAAATATTGTACATGTACGTATACATGTAAATACAAGATAACGTTATACATATGTATGTGCGTATGTACAGAAATCGTAGAAAGAGAGAGAGAGAAAGAGAGAGAGAAAGAAAAAGAGAGAGAGAGAGAGGGAGAGAGTGAGTGAGTGAGAGTGTGAAAGAGAGGGAGAGTAAGAAAGATCCAGTACGTCGACGTGAATTGTAAAATAATAACTGAAACCATCGATGAAGAAGAAAAACGAAAAAAGAATGAAGAACCGAAAATCCGCTGTTGATTTCGGCGGCCATTGCCAACGCCCGGTTGTGTCGATGTCTGTAATGTGTATTTTATTTCTAGGTGGTGTTAACCGACCCGTATACTAATCACATTTCTCGCCTAATCCAGCTTCTTAGTCGTTAGTCTTAAAACCCCTTGAATAGAGACCAAAAACAAAAAAGAAACTTGAAATGAATAGAACAAAGGGAAAAAAGAGAATAGAAAAAAAGAACAGATGAACACACCCCTTATAGCCGTGATTCGGCCGCACGATGATAATGGGAGTGCATAATACGCGATTACCAGGTATCACGAAGATTCTTTCTCGACACCGCTCCCTGTGAGATGTCAATATAGTAACTTCGCTACCAGCGAATTCAATTCGATGACGATCTTTTGATTCGCATGCGAGAACCGCGTGTACTAACTCGAGATGTAAACGAACGGCCAGCGAAAGCTAAAAAAAGCTTACGGGAAAAGAAAAACATAGCTAAGAAATAACAAAAACTAATGTCAAGCTATAACGGGAAACCGAGAGAAACAAAAAAACAAAATGACGGTAAAGAACGTGAAAGAATACCAAAGAAAGAGGACTCACCGTGTACAGTTTCTTTCTTGACGCACTTTGCAACCGGTATATATGTTTTCTTGTTGCGCGACGAATCTGACGTTCGCTCGAAGAGAAATATGCGACCGACGCCGATCATTAACCCTGTTCTCCAGCCCCGGTAGCTTTTGTCTTTGATCCGAGGATATGCACGTTGGCCTAGCTACTTAGTAGCTTTTGATTAGTGTCCGTCCCCTGTCAGACTCTAGCGCGTACGCTGTTTTAGTACCGTAGCCATTTTAGTTCTTCCGATGGTAGAATATTTCTTTTCGGCGGCACGCGTCGAATTCGTCGCCTCGGCCTCGGCCGATCCTCTAAAGCTCACTTTCGGCCCGGTGATTGAAAAGGCACTCAGGCGGCGCAGTTTCATAAACAATATACTTACACACCACAGACAATACACATTGCACACACTGTTGCTCTGTGAATGAAACATGATGCGGGGTAAAAGAAAGCAGCACCTTTGTGTCTCCCACCGTTAAAACCCAGACCACCCTCTACACACCCTGAATACCCTATCTCTCAAAAGAAAACAAGAAAAGAAACAGATAGAATGAAAAAAAAAGAAACTAGAGTAAAACGCCACCAATCTATCTCACAACCGTGCAAGCCAGATCTGTCAGTCACCTTTGTTTATAATTTCCTTGTTCACGATTTTTCTCGGAGTGTTGCCTTGTCTGCGAGTGACTGCGTGGGTGTTTCTGTGAGAGTGTCCGGATCGGTCTCTTTAAACGTAGAAACGCTTGAGACGCGCGATCAGTCTCGGCCACGGCATGCTGAACGCTTTCACGGACGCAGCAAAGTTAAATAGTTCCGTAGAAAAGCATTACGATGACCTCCTCCAAGTGTGTACTTCGTTGATAACGGTTTAACGAGGCGGTGAACCGTGCGAGTGGGGATAAGGGGAGAAATTTTGGTATTATAAGTGGTTAGGTATGGGTTTTTGATCATAAGAACTATTTCCTGGTGTTTTGTTTATATTATTCAAATGATTTTTAGTTTAGTTTTATTTGATTGCTTTTGGGGTAGTATTCAAATTTAGCTTACCCTTTGGCTTATGATCTCGTTTTGGTAATGATTCCTTGCAGGGATTAGATCAACCGCTAAAGACTTTTAGATCTAGCTTTAATGTTGCTTGTAATATAGAGTGGCTATGAGTGCCTTATAAAGTGTAAATATTTTATAAATATGTTTATATATTTTGTTACTTGTATTTAGCGTGTATATATATAATATTTGTTATTCTGCGATTTTTGCAAGTATGATTATTATATTTTTTAGATTCTTCGTTTATACATATTTTAATA